CCTCGGGACTGGTGGGTGGAGGGGTGGGGACTGGGGGCTGGGGGGCACATGGTGGGCTAGAGGAACCTGGGAGGCTGCAGGCACTGCGGGGGTGGGGAGCTCAGGTGGCTGGCGCCCCGCGGTCGGGTGATGCCTGCCTGCCTGCCGCCCCCAGTGATCCAGTATGGCTTTACCACCATCTTCGTGGCCGCCTTCCCGCTTGCCCCGCTGCTCGCGCTCTTAAGCAACCTCATGGAGATCCGCCTGGATGCCATCAAGATGGTCCAGCTGCAGCGGCGCCTGGTGCCCCGCAAGGCCAAAGACATCGGTCAGGGCCGGACTGGGGGCGGCGTGGGGCAGGGCGGGGCGGGGCGCTCCAGCCAGTGCTGGGGTGGCAAGGGGCGCTGGGACCACGGCAGCCCCTTGAAATCATCGCTGTAAGTAGCGGTGGCAAGACAAGCCCCTCACCCCACAGACAGCCCCCAGCCCTTTCCTGGGGTCTGCCAGGACAGGGGATGGGCCTGAGGTGGGCTCAGGCCCCAGGACGGTGTGGCTGGCTGCACCTTGCAGGCCCCTCCCTCCTGCACCAGGACCCCTGGGGACCCAGCCCTAACAGCTGGGAGCTGAGGGAGGGAGGGTCCAGCAGCTGGGGGCAGGAACTGAAAGCAGGTGACCTCAGTCACCCAGACCCTAACCAAACCCTCCTGAGGTGGACAGGTGTCAGAGATGAAGAGAGGGGATGGGGTGCTGGACGTGGGCAGGGGAAAGACAAGTGTGAGGGAGGCCCCAGTCTTGGGCCCAGGCTAAGGGGTTCCACCCTGGCATGGGGACCCAGGAGGTGGAGCAGGCTTGGGGGCAGCTGAGGGGTTCAGGCAGAAGATGGGGGGGCAGGGAGACCTGAGCCCCTCCCGGTCCATGTCACAGAGAAGGGGGTGCAGGAGAGCGGCGGCCGTGCTCTGTCGGCCTTGGCCCAGGTCTTCCTTCCTCATCAGCGACCTGGCCCCACGGCTGCGATGGGCTGCAGTGGGCAGAGGTGTGACGAGGCCCCCTGACCACCCAGGCTCCCAGCCTTGGGGGATGGACGGGTGGAGGTGGGGTGGGCGGTACCAGCCTCCGGGCTTGAGGAGCCAGACCCCTCACCCGGCTGCTCTGGCCCAGGGACCTGGCTGCAGGTGTTGGAGACCATCGGCGTGCTGGCCGTCATAGCCAACGGGATGGTCATCGCCTTCACGTCCGAGTTCATCCCCCGAGTGGTGTACAAGTACCACTACGGCCCATGCCGAGGGGGGGCCCACCCGCCAGTCGAGTAAGGGGGCGCCGCCACGCAGCCCGGGGAGCCTCAAACTGCCCAGAGACCCCTGGGAAAACCGGACCACCCACAGCCCAGCCCCAGGGGAGCCCAGGGGAAGGGCTCGATGCTGCCAGTACTGCCTGGGGTGGTCCTCCGCACCGGCCTGCAGACCCTTGGCTGGAGCCCAGGAGCAGTGACTGGGACCCCAGTGGGGATTAAGGTCCCAGAACCAGCTGTTTTCTGAGCAGGCACGACCAGAATGGCTCCTCTCCCAGAGTCAGACCCTTCACAGCCTGCTCCAGGCGAGAGGGCAGAGCGGCGTCCTTACTCAGCTGCTCCAGCCCTCAGGGCGTCCTCCACCCGGCAGGGAAGGCAGCTGGTGACGCCCGGAGGTGCTTCAGTCTCCCCCACGGAGGGACACGCAGGAGGGGCTCTGTGCTGTGCCCCACCCTGACGGCCCCACCAGACAGGGAGTAGCTCCAGGAGGCCCCCCAGGAGCCCTCGGGGCCACACCTGCAGCCCACACCCGCTGCTCCTCTCGCCTCCCCAGCTGCCTGACTGGCTACGTCAACCACAGCCTGTCTGTGTTCTACACCAAGGACTTCCAGGACCCCGACGGGATAGAGGGCTCAGAGAACGTGACAGAGTGCAGGTTTGGAACCCCGTCCCCCGTGGGGGCCCTCTGAACTCCTGACCCCTGACCTCAGGTGCTTCCCCACCCCAGGTACCGGGACTATCGCAACGCTCAAGACTACAACTTCTCGGAGCAGTTCTGGGTCCTCCTGGCCATCCGCCTGGCCTTCCTCATTCTCTTCGAGGTGGGCCAGGACTCGGGGAGGGGCGGGGACTGCTCTCTCCAGGCCTCCTCCAGGACGCCCACCCCTGAAACCCCTGCTCAGCCCCCCGCCCCTGCCGCCCCCAGCACGTGGCCTTGTGCATCAAGCTCATTGCTGCCAGGCTGGTGCCTGACGTGCCCCAGTCTGTGAAGAACAAGGTTCTGGAGGAGAAGTACCAGAGGCTGCGGGAGAAGCTGAGGTGCGGCGCCAAGGCAGGAGGGGTGTGCCGGGCGGGCCGGAGCAGGGCCTGGAGGGCATTGGGGGGCTGGGGCGGGGGCGCCCAGTGAGGGGGGCCCTGGCCCTGATCCCCACCAATCCCCTTCCTGCCTCCAGCTCCAGCCCAAAGAGCACGGACGTGTAGGGGACCCAGAGCCAGTCGAGAGGCGCTGGTGCCCTGGGGCCGAGACTCAGAGCCACCACCCATGCCCGCCATGGCTGCGTGTGTGGAGTGGGGGGCTGAAAGAAGGCCTGTGTACATGTGGGCATATAAGTGGGGGTCCCGGGAGGCCCGAGTGCATATGAGTCTGTGTACGTCGGCGGCTCAGGGCAGCTCTGAGCGGCCCCCCGTGTGGTCTGTTCCGTCTGTCCAAGCTCACAGTTGGCACAGCCCTGACTTGAGCCCTGAGTGACCCTGCCCCCATAGAACCGGCACTGGGGTCTTCTCATGTGGTCACAACGCACGAAAACCAGAACACCAGCCCGTTTCCTGACGGAGATCCTGCCCTAGATCCTGCCCCACCCCCATCCTGGCTGGTGGGGGCCCTGACCCCACCTCCCTGGCTCCCCTCAGCCAATAGAACTTTCTACAATAAAATAAAACTCTTTATGTGGATTTTTGGGCATCCAGTGGATTGTGTCTGCCCTCAGAGCTAGGTGGGAAACGGAGGCCCAGATGCGGAAAGGTCCGGAATGCGGTAGCCTCCTGGCCCTCCTCTGGTTTTCCATGGGCTTCCAAGTGAGGGGCACCTTGTTGAAGTCGTACTCTCCCTGCACCTGAGGCTTAAGAGCGGGAGTCAAGGCAGGCTTCCTGGAGGAAGAGGAAGAGCTGGGGAGGAGGGGCAGAACCACAAAAAGTGCCCCTGGGGACAGCAGAGTCTCCGAGGAGTCCCGGGGCTCCGAGACTCTCCCGGCTGGCTGGGCCGGTTTAGCCTCTGCCCGCAGGCCTGGAGGCCCTGGCTCCCAGGGGCTGAGTGCAGGACAGTCTTGAGCGCCAACCTTGGGCGCGAAGGGGGACACATGGGTCCGCCCTAGGCCCTGGCTGCTGGGCGGGGCTGCACCTGCCGCAGCCGCCGGGGCGGTCGCCGCTGCGCACCTGGCCCAGGTGAGCCGCCCCGCCCCCGCGGTCACGCGAGCCCCAGGTCTTGGCAGCAGGTGAGTGGCAGTCGCGACTCAGACTCACGGGGGTGAGTGGAGGTCGCTAGCTCCCGGGAGCCGGGACCAGGGCTGGAGCTTGGGGGGCCCGGGTGCGCCTAGCCCCGAGGAGCCTCTGGGCCGTGGCGGGCGCGGTCCCGCAGGAAGTGGCTCGGAGCCGGGCCGGCTGCCCGCGTTGCCCGGAAGCCCGAGCTCCTCTGCATCCCAATCCCTTGGGCCCTGGGCGGGCAAGAGCCGCCCTTCCCGCTCCGCCCGACGTGGGCAGTGGCTTCCTTGTGACTTTTGCGCAGGAGGAGGGGGACTGGGAGCGCGGGGACCCCCACCTCTGCCCGAGCCTCGGATCCCAGGCCTGAAGCCTCCCAGGGCGGCAGAACGAATCGAGAAACAGCCGGGACCGCGGCACCGGTCGCCGGGCAGAGCTCTCGCCGTCTGCGCGTCCCCGCTCTCCGTGCGCGGCCCCGCGCCCCACCTCGACTTCCGTGCGCGCTCCCCCTGCCGTCAGCGAGCCCCGACCTCCGTGCGCGGCCCCGCGGCCCCCCACCCCCAACCTCCGCGAGCGCACCTAACCTCTGCGCGCGCGCCCCCGCTCCCCGCGCGCCCCACCCGCCCTACGCGCGCGCTCCCGACCTGCCTTCCCTGCGCGCCCCCGAGCCGCCAGCTCACGGCACAGGGATAGCGGGGGTACCAGGGCAGGTCCATCCCCCGGGAAGGCGGAGCGCGAGATGTGGGGTGTGTGGCATTGGGTGCCCGGGGGGAGCAGGACGGAGCCCCTCGGCCTGCGGGGCCACAGTCTTTTATGTACGTTCTTTCCTTCAGGAGAGACGTCCGGGGTCGCAGCGCGCGCCAGGCGCGGAGGGGCTGCACGTTCCAGATGAGGGGGAGACGTTCGGAGACTATGGGGTGCTGAGCAGCAGACCAGACAGTGTAGGGGGGAGAGGGAGCGTGCGCTGGCCGGGGGCTAGGCCGACACCGAGGCTCGAGGACAGCATCCCACCGCGCGCACCGAGTTCAAGTGCCTGAGGGCGGGAGGAGCTGGGCCTCTCTAGGAAGCCCGGGGGGTGGAGGGGTGGGCGGTGCAGGGGGCGGGCTTGCAGTCGAAGGGCCGTTCCGGAGAGTGCCGGAGGCGATGTGGGTTTTTACGCTCTCTTTGGAGAGTGGGTCCGGGGGCGAGGGAGGGTGAGGGTGGACCTTTAGCTGAAGGAAGGGGGCATCCAGACAGGGCTGTGAGATGATGGCACAGATGGGCAGGCAGAGCAGCGGACAATCCGGCAGGAGCTTTGAGAGGGGGTGAGGCTGGTTGGGGACGCGGAGGAGAGCCTAGCTCCTTGCTTCCTTCCTGGGTATCCTGGGCAGTTCACCTGTGCACCAGGTGATTTGCTGTCTGCTCGCTGGCGTCCGAGCCCACTGGCGCACCTTCCAGGAGGGGCTAGTGCCAGCTCCAACGTGCATAGAAGAAGCCGAGGCTCAGTGGGGAAGTGGTGTGGTCAGGCCTCCCTCCAGTTCTGAGGTCACCGAGCCCAAGATGCACCATCACCCAAGGGTCTTCAGGGCCACAGGGGGCTTGAGCAGGGCTGGGACAGAGTCAGAGGGAGAACATAGGGAAGTCGATGCTGCACAAGGAGCTGAACTGTGGGCCCCGCCCCTGCATGGGTGACAGCACACTGGGCTGCAGGGGACCCTTGCCCCCTGACTCTGGGCAGTGATACCAGCCACCTGTTGCTGGGCCCAGAATCCCAGGTCAGCCTGGAGCGGGGTGGGGGAGAGGGTGGTGACAACAGGAGATGATGACTGCCCCCACCTGGGCTCAGAGCCGAGGAGCCTCTGCCGAGGCCTCCCATTTGCTTCCTTATCCGGAAAAGGGGGCACTGGCCTCCCATCCTAGCCTGATACCACAGCCTCCTTGTAACTATGCCTGGGAGGTAGACAGGGAGGGGCCAAAGGGCCCTGCTCAAGGCCCCATTATTTGCAGGAGTTCCACAGGACCCCCCTCCCCCCGCAGGTCAGAGGCTGCTCACTTGGGCCTGGGGGAGCGACATGGAGACTCCCCCCTTCCTGGGTGTGGCATTGTGGGGATATCCAGGAAGTGGGCCACACTGCCCAGCTGGCCCTTCTTGTGCGTGTGCAAGATGGCCCTGATCGGGGGTCTCCTTGCCAGCACCCACACACATCCCCCTGGGCCCCAGCCCCTCTGCAGCGCCCCAGGCCTGGCCTCGGGAAGTTCGGGGCCTGGTGGGCTGGGGCGGGCCCCAGAGGAAGGAGCCGCTTGACTCAGAGTTACAGGAAGAGTGGGGCAGGCGGGGCGGCGAGAACCACCAACTGCCCGCCTGCCTGCGAGGGGGGTGGGTGCCTGGGTGGGGTTTAGGGTTAGGAGAGGATGTGACTGCGAGGCCAGGAAGCTACGGGGAAAGTTCTGATTAAACACACAAACAAAAGCCAGGTCGTCACCGTGCTTGGCGATGCGGCCCGGGCAGTCGTGGTGATTTGGACCCGGCCAGGGGCCCAGCTGAGCAGAGAGCTTGCTCCCAAGCACACGCCAATGACCTCAGTGACCGACATCCCCCCCCCAAGGAGGAAAGAGCCGGAACCAGGTGACTTCGTGCCCTCCCACATGGCCCTGCCACTCCCCGTGAACCTGCATCCTCATCCTCTGTGCTTGGAGTCAGGGCTGGCTAAGGGGAGGCCCGTAGCACGTGTGGCATGAGTGTGCACGTGTGTGTGTGCCTGTGAGAGAGTGAGGGGCACAGGAGGCTGTGTGTGTGCCATTGGTGGCCAAGGGTGGGTGTGAGGCGCAGTGTGTGTGGTGTGGGGTGTGTGCAGATGCTTGTGGCTATGCGCCCTGTGGGAGCTGTGGCAAGTGTGTGCGGTGTGTGCCAGGTGTGTGTACCACAAGAGGGTTGGAGGTGTGGAGACTGTGCATGTGTGCACACAGACCAACATAGGAGCTTAGTGCAGGCATGTGTGGGGAGAGGGCTGAGTGTGCAGGGGGTGTGCCAAAGTGTGTGCAACAGAGACTGCAGGGTAGAGGTGTGCAGGAGAGGGTGTGCAGGGGGAAGACACCTGTCACCTGACCATGCAGTTGGGCCTTAACTTCCAGGAGGGTCGGGCTGCCTTCCAGGGCTAGGAGCTCTGAGCTTGAGGAGGTTGAGGGACCACAGCACGAGGGCCTGCTGGGCTGGGGGCACATCCTTCTAGGCACGCTGGGTTGGGGGTGTGAGCTGCCCAGTCCTCCACAGCCCCTCAGTGGGCTGGCTCTCCTACTTCAAAGGCCTTCTCAGGACTGCCCTCCACCCCAAAGGGCTTCTGGAGAGACCCTCCTTGCCAGACCCCTTGGGAACGTGCCTGACACTCCTCTAATTCCTAAGGAAATTCCAGCCCAGCCAAACCCGGGGCTTCTGGCTGTGCAGAGGCCGGGCGAGGGCTGGGGACTCATGGGCTCATCCGTGTAGGAGGAATGGGTGCAGGCTAAGAGACTCGTCGCTGCAAAGCCTCAGGGGCCCCAGGGGTGGGGAGGACGGCCCGAGGGAGCCAGGGAGAGGGCCTTGGCTCCATCCCCACACTGGCCCCCAGTGTGTCCACTCAGCAGGGAGAGCTTGGAGTAGGTGCTCAGTAAATACTGCTGGATCAACAGGGTGAACCTGGGCAACGGGGAGGGGGTGGCCCAGGCCCACTGCTGCCAAGGAGGCTGTCAGCGAAGTCTCCAATGCTGGGGGCTTCCCGCCCCTCCCCTTGGCCCGAATCCCTTTTGTATCAGAAGGCATGTGTGGCTGCTGCCGATGTGGGCCTGGAGTGGTCCCAGACACTGCACAGGAGAGAAGAGTCGCCTACAGGTGGGGTGGGGGCTTCCCTTGGAGAACTAGATGGACAAGTGGACAATGTCTCTGGTTTGGAAATGACAAATGAGGGGATGTGGGCACAGGACCCAGAAGGAGGGCTGCCCCGGGAGGCCCCTCGGAGCAGACTCAGGCCAGCCCAGCCTCCACGACCTCGGCCTGGCCCAGGCTC